ATCAGTCATTCCTAATTCATCCATTCAGAAGCTGCTGTCAGTCACCAGGCTTCGCAAAGCCACACCTTAGGACATAGAATGTCTTCAGAATTCCACTTGCTATTTCACGGCGAAACTGTGACGTTTGACTGAAATGTCCAATCCAATCGTGGTTCCTAGGCCAAGTGCAAATTTCATATTCCGTTTAGCTAAAACGAAACCTACAATGAGACTGCCGATTGATTAACACATGTCAACTTCTCAGAAGAGTTTTTATCATTGGAAGAGGAGAGAGGCTGGTCGTCGGACAAAACCGATATGGAAAAGTTTCGAATGGCATTACATCCAAACATAGTATCGAGAAGACCGAGCATGTGACCGGTTCAAAAACTTCAATGTAGGGGCTGCCAAAAGCAATGGACTCACGTGAGGGCATTCGGAACAACTATTCAAGTCGCTAGCTTTGTCACAACGGCTACCCAATTGACAGTATCTGACGATCTGAGGCAAAAAGCGGGAAAATTTGCCGATTTAGCTGGCGAATATCGTTCCCAAGTCTATTGCTGTTCGAATTTTACTGGGAACACAACGTCAATTCCAGACTCCGAGGCGATGAATCTGTACACAACCCTATTAGCTGGTTTTATCGCTTCCTGTCTTTCGGGGACGATATAAATCTTCGCATGCACTTAGTTTCTTGTGTTTTCCACGAGAAATTTTGTTTCGAAGGGTGAACCTTTACTGGGCACAAAACGGTCATAGAAACTGAGCACTATTTTGCCGTGCCATCGAGGAAGGTTGCAGTAGCAGACCAGTGTTTCAACAGTGTGAATACTGTACTATGTGAAGAATATATTCGGGAAGTAACTCATTCAGTTGAACAACAAGACGATTCTTCAAGAAAGTTCTACTGTTGTCTGATCAGTGTACTGTGCTTCCGACTTTTTAATTCAATAGTGATAAGCAGGCGTTTCTACCTCCAAACACATCTTCCTGCCTGTAGCTACTAGATGCAATGATCATTCATGAAGAATGGGTTTTTTTGAGACAGTTTCTTCCACATGTTCCTTGTTTAGCGGGTGCTATTTTGTTTATTGTTAATAGGCAACAAGGAGTGGTCAGATAGTTGACAGTCAAATGACTCAGCGACGTTTGCTTATGTGGTGGGAAGAGGTTGGGGAGGGAGATCGGTGGACACCGAACTGCGCGGGCAAGTGACAAACAATCAGGCTGAAGCAACGAAACTACCAAAAATAGAAGACACTGTCACAACAAGCAGAATCAAAGAAGGAAGACCACAATGAAACGCAAACCGGGAACGGACCAATTGCAAACAGACCCGGAACATCCCAAAACAGCCATCCAACAAACCAATGGAATAAGAAACACACTGACCACAACGCAGCAAAACAAAATCACGATCGATCTTACTATGATGCAACAGAAGACATATACCGACTAGCCAATCACATGACAGGATATTGAATACTCTACAAAAAACTACATAAACCCAGCTAGGCACGGAGGAAGCACCCATTCAACTGCGCACTGTTGACGTCTCCTCGACTGGAGACGAAACGTTTGCAAGCCAATTGCCAAGCTCGGCGAACAGATCAACTGCCATCCGATCAGCCACCAGTAAACACACCCGAACTACCTATATTTCGACAAATTGACAGTGGACAGTAGTGTTTTCTTTGGGGACCCTGCCCTCAGCCGATGACTCAATAGTCTAATTTGCTCGGCTGCAGGGGTTTGGCCTAACCCGAGGGCGCTGGGAATAAGGTCGACCGTTGAGCGTTCAAAGCGTGCGGTTTTTAGGGCCGACCTTTTCTAGCTCGTCCTTCCTGGGGGTAGGAGGCAGCATCGCTGCTTTCATAAATATGGACATGCTGGTCGCCTGGGAGAAACACCTTCACAGTCCTGTCGCAGAGGACAGTACGAATTTACCCCCCACCGCCTAGACCGCCCAATAGCGCGGGGTCTCGCTGCTCCTCTGAGATTCCTGGCATTGTTGCACCTCGTGGAATGACGTTCCAGCCAGTATAGCCCATGGGATCATTGCAGCACTCAAGCGCGACCATCACGTCAAAGTGACAGCTTTAGGAGCGCAGTTCTAGCATCAGTCAGTTAATCGAATTATTTCCCCATATTTTCCTCATTAGATTCAGCTATTAGACGTTGTATGGATCCGAAACTCTTGGAATAATCTGTATGATGTGACAGCCTATCAATTTGTCCTCAAGCTTGGTTTTAGTAAACTGATTTGGTTGTTAGTCCTGTTACTGTACAGAACGTAGACGTTGAGAACTCATATTTAGAGCCACTCTTGACTGGCTTACTGGTTAGCTTTTGCATTGTTAGGTGTCCATGTAAATTCTCTGAAACTATCGGGACCTTCAGGTGTCGAAAATACTATACTTACAAAAGACTAATTTCCATAAGAAACGAAGCAGGAAATGTGCAACTTGTTTTGAGCATTTTTTCCATATACCAAGTACCTATGAGACACTAAATGATTGATTAGACTGCTTCCTCCCTGAGAACGAATCCTTTTCGAACGGAGCGATTTTTACCTTCCCCGATGTGTTTGCTTCTTGGGAGGATTGCTTATTTAGTCTAAATCTGCAGCGATTATATGAGATGGACCTGGACTTCGTGAGTGACTGATAAAAATTGAGCATCGTCGAAAATAATCCGTTAGGTAAAACCGAAACAATTGTCCAGACCACAAAGTATGTCAAGATACTCCTTGAAATTCCATTGCACCTAGGACTTGTTACAGACAAAGGCAGTCATTTTTCTGAGGTAAACTTTGGAAGTGCCGGTTTCAACAAAACGAGACCTGTGGACAAAATTAAATGAAGAAAGAAAGCGATATCCAGAGCATGGAAGGTCAAAGTTGTCTGATAAGGTTATACCCAGATGTCGTATAGCAGAGGGCTCTAAGATAAAGAACAATAAGAACACAAAGGACATAAAACTAGGTCGTTTTCTCGTCGATCGGAACTGGGAGAGTCAACGTCTCAGGAGTTTTTAACAGTAAGAGAGAGCACAAAATAGAGACCAGTTGTCGGTTTCGTTCAGCACCTTTTGTAGTTGCGGATGTACTCTAGGTTCACGGTGGGCGTAACCAATCATAATGTCGTCTCTGTGGTTTCATTGGGTGAGTTATCGTTCATCCGGGTGCCTGGATTCAGGACTACTCTTTTGGACAAAAATATGAGCGGTTTTCCAATAATCTTCTCTCTTTCTTCGGCTTAACTGTTACCTTAGCCACGTACTAAAAGTGAAGTGTTTTCCCAATTCGGAGAGTTGTTCAGCAGAACAGATATTGCTACTTTTAACTATTGTGCTAAGGTTGATGGGGCTTCCAAAAACAGAAGTTCTCTGAATGTCGACAACAATATCATGTGGGAGAGACGACAGCTTGGTCTAAATTCACTTGTCACATGTTCTTATGCAACTCTTTTCATCCCTTCCAAATAGCCTCAAGTACGTCTACTCAAACAATAGCTGGGATTAGACGTCAGCTTGGTGTGTAGGGATTTTGTGTTTAGTCCTGCTTAGTTATTTATTCTTTCAGAAGGATCCGTGGTCAACTAATGCTGTGAATCCAGCTAGACCGCTCCATATTGGTGGGAACAGGTTCAATAATTACCGTAACATTCTCTACGAATGACTTTCTAAGGGCTTATCCCGAATGAACCTTGTGACTCTGTACGTTACTCAGGCTGTTTGTCTACGACTGTCCCTCCAACGCAACCCACTTCCCTTTACTTTTCCAAGGTCATGACATAGATAAGGTGCTGTAATTTTTTCCACCTCAAAAAAGCATTCCCGACACGTGAGTGGCGACTGAAGATGAAAGTGTTTTTCCCCAAGGAGACCGTTTTCAACCTAGTCCTAGTTCTTTCCATTGAATTTTAGGAACTCAAAGAGATCCCTCGGACCGTTTTTAGGCGTATTTAGGTCAGAACCTCCCCAGAAGGGGTCAAAAAATTTATCACTTGTACTTCGTGTGCAATAATTCGTCTTTTGTCCCAACAACATCTAATGAACATTCAGTAGGCGACTCGACCGTTTGGGCACATATGTTGTTGGATGAGTCAGCCAACTCGCAGAACAGCCACTCCAGGAACAAATAAAATGCCGAAGTGTTGTTTGACCGGTTTTGTTCATTTTGCACGCTTTGAATCAGATGTCTCCGAAAGAGATTTTCCGCCGAAAGAAATTCTTCAAGGGACAGTCGGTAGTGTATTTGTGGTGGCACGTCTCTGGGCCAGTGCGTGGAGTATTGAACAGAACTTAACTGGTGAGATAACAGCACTGCAACTGTGGTATGAAGGCCGTGATTCTAAGTAAAACCCCGCTTCAATGTTCATCATTTTGGATGCGGGGACCTTAAGGTCGTTAAATTCCGTAGGCCGTTTGGCTGTGTAAAAAGTTACACGCAATTACAAAAGACATGGTACAGAGTTTTTCCTCAAAATACGTCTCTTCGGGTTTGACGAAACGTTTTCAAAACAATGGTCAAACTCAAGTAACTTTTTCATAACAGAGCTATCGATAATGTACTATCCTCGTCTAAAATCTGTACTATGGTTCCAGTTGTGCACACTCCAGTGATCTGATGTACACCAGTCTCCCTCGCTCCTCAGTTATGTTCTTCGCTCGGTGGCTTGTATGAGTTTGGTGATTGTCAGTAAGTGGTTTTGAGTGGCGTCTCTTTGCCGAAAAGACCCTCTAACCAAATTTGCACAAATATTAGATGTAGGGAAGAGGGAATGTTAGGAAAATACGTGATGCTCTAGGTGTTCTTCACGTTATCGTAACCTTGAAAGAATTCCCACTCAGAGTCGAGTATGAAGTAGCTCAGTACATTGAGCTAACACTGACGAACATGTTCCAAATAACGGGATAGCTGTGAACGTTTATAATGGGAAACAATTGGAACTGACAGATCTTGTAGCATGAACTGCGAGATTTTCAAAGCGATACTACATCTGGTCCTAAACTACAATCTTCGTTGTTTTCTTGGCGCTTCTTCTCTATTGGTCCTCCCTTAGAAGAAGCTGATTCTGGTTTCTCGTTGCGAAGCCGAAGGCTCCAGCGTGAAAATTTTCTACATAGTCTGAGACTTTCTCGTCCATAGGACATCTTTATTCGCGGAAATTTTCATGGTCACAGGCTTGTGTTGTGCAATCCAACAAATCCGAACCTATACCGATTTGTAGCCAGAACCGTTAGTTTGCCTTCGCGATGCTGTTGTCTGCCGAACGAAACGGCAGATAGGTCGATGCCTTAAATTCCTGGTGAAGGTTTTATGGATGCAACATAATGCTACCGTGTCAAAATTTCGTGTCTGTTTGCGTTCCCGCATGTTCGAAAAAAAGACACTTTCTCCTTGCTGTACACTTCCAACACAAAATATCCGCAGGATATGGCTCAAACCCCTCGGAAATCTTCCTGAACTGTCTTTCTGTTGTCGTCCATTCTTCGCGTATAGTTACACCTTATCGGGACCTGCTTTCGAAGTTCCCTTTTTAGAAAACACAGTCCCTCTGACCCGTTCTCATGGGACGATAAGATTACCTCAACTTCATAATAAAAACATTGCATTTACTTGCCATTGTGAAAGAGGCAAGACGAATGAGATTTTCACAGCTTGACGTTGAGTGGAGGCAACTGGCGAACAGTGAATGCCTGCACATGGCAAGAGATGAGAGTTGGTTAGATCTAGATAGACCCAAGATCTGCTTCACCGATTCCTGTGCACGCGGAATATGTTCGTGTTTCACGCTCGAGAGCAACCGATACAGCAGCACAGAACGACTGCTTAAGGTCAACGACGTCACGTTTGGTTGAGATGTTTTTCATGGCCGAAGGGGTCATGTCTTGTGTTTTTCCCTCTATCACGTTGTTGGATTGCCCCGAATAACCGACAAGGCAAGATAATAGCTAATAAAGGAACGATCCCAACGTTGTCCTCTAGGTGAGAGCACCGTGCAAGCAGTCTCGAGTGATTACCTGCCCCTACCCGTTGGTGCCTTTACGACTGATACTTAATACTCGCTGTGTTTATTCCCCACATCTTTCCCGGTCAGTATCTTTCCAATCAGTATTTACTGAAATATGTAATGGAACTCAACGTGATGTGCCTAATAAGATGAACACAACACCAGATACCCAAACCTGAAAACGTGACCTCGGAACGCATTCTGACCACTCCAGGTAGTCTTGTCCTATACCGATACTCGCCATCGATCAACTTTTTATCGTTTACATAGAGGTATATAATCCGTTCATGTTGCCTTTTCAGGTGAGAGTAGCAAAAGATGCATATTTCCTAGCTATTCTGTCCAAAAGTTTCATTTACTTGAATTTGTGGCTCATTGGAGACAAAACAGCACACCACACTTTTGCACGACTAACTGCCGTATAGTCTTGCATAACCATTTTCGCATCCTTAACCCGTTTGAAGAGGGTTGTTGATTCGGCTGACCTACTGGAAGTTTCGCTCAACTTTTTGCGTGTTATTCCCACATCGTCGTTTGTTCTGTTGGCTTTTCAGAATTCGAATGGAACAGGCCCGGCGGTCATCGATCCAGAAGTCGTTCAGCAACTAGTGGACGATATGCGAAAAATGAAGATCATTATCAAAGGACACGAACGACGCATCAAGCACATGGAAGAACAAGCTAAACTGTTGGAAGGTGATACCGCTGGGGATAATCCATAATCTGGCGAGCAGATTCCCATTTTGACATGGGTATATATGCATGCAGTCCATACGGTTTTGTGTGGACAGTTCATATCTGTCCATTGGTCTCCTCTCTGTTTTTTCTTTTTTATAGTGTATGCTTAGATTACCTTCTCCCTTCCCCTACTGTGTTACAGCGCATCACGCCAGTTTCCACTGCATACCGGTCATTCTCTTTTGCAGGTTGACTCCACGCGCAGCATGTTCCCACACGCATACACACACACACAACCGCGTTCCGGTACTGTTCTTGGTATCGTCCCTTTGTGTCTACAGTCATAAGACTCTCCGTGTCTTCCAGTTTTCAAATGGATTTGTCACTGTTTTGTGGGTGCTCAGTACCTTCCACTCACGTGCCAGTACTTACCCGTGTATGAACAACGATCTGGGAAGTGCGTTGCTTTTACGCATCTGATCTACTGTCTTTTGCTTGCTTTTTTCGCCGACACAATGACGGTAGTACGATTACTTTCGACAAAACGCCTTCACGTACTGTTTTTTGTTTACTGACCACTAAATTGTTACCACTTTCCCTTATCCCTTCGTGTGCTTCTCATCCCGTGGCTATTTTCGCATTTATATGGTCATTGCAATTGTTCCCTGGTTAACTTCCCCTGATGCAGCCGATCGATTCGAATGGACGATGCCCATTTGACGCGGCTGTCATTTCTTTCTATCAGGCCGGTAAAAATGGGTTGCAAATGCTTTGGTAACTGTGTCCAGTCGTCGCTTCTCGTCTCTGGCGTTGACAACTGAGCACGAGACACTGTTGATTTTACATCTCTCTCTTTTGTTCCTTATAAACTTCAGATTTTCCTGTACGCTCGCTGAGTCCTTGTCTGACAAGCTTGATATCGACCTCTCGTAGCACGTCATTTTCATATTCCCGTGATGTTTCTCACAGCTTCCTGCTCTTTTTGTATCCCTCATCCCTAATGCAAGAGAATGATTGGGTCGCTAGGATGAGTCGTTTCTCGTGTAGTCTGCTGGCTTTTCATGATGCCATAACAGCTGACTTGAGCACTCCTTTGCCGATTTCTTTGCATGTATTTGGTTCTTGCAACCCAACGGGTTCGCAGCTGTTCGCCGAATTTCTACATGTTGCCGAAATACAGCATATTCTAGCGGGTTTTAGTTTGATGGGAGAGGCCATAACTGAGCTTGTTCAAATAACGCATGAGAAGCCAGCTTCTGTTCTTTTTTCGGTCGATTTCTCTTATGAATGTTTTTCCGCCTATTCATGAAGGTTACTTAGCTCTTCCAAACAGTCCGTACTTTCTCATTGATTTTACACAGTGGTAACAACCGGGATGTATCAGGTATTTCGAGGATGCCTGTCAAAACGGTTCCTCATGTTGCAGTTGCACGCTGACTGAAGACTGTTTCTGGACTGTGCTTACTTCCGGAGCAATCAAAACTTCTTGGCCCCACAAGTGCTGGTCAACCTGAAACTCAAATAGTCATCGCCGTCGCCCGTGGGTTGCGTGGATCTCTTATTGATTGCCGTTTGTTCTGGGGCACCCGTGTGGTCTACCGTCACGCATTTTTCTATTGCCACAAAGCGTGCGCACTTGTCATAGCCTCTGAGTCCCATGGACCCCACTATGAACAGGTTTTGATCAAAACCTTCTGCGGCAGTCTTCTTCCAATCTAACCTCCGGTACAGACCTTCTGGAAAGTACTCTCTGCAACCTTATAGAAAGTTGGGCGCTCTGTACAGCGCAACAGTCCGTATCAAACAGTTTTTTCGAGCGAGACCTTACTAATCGACGCTCAGACACATTCTGGTCGAGGATGTAGTACAATTCGATTAACTGTTAGGCGCTACTGGGTCCACGGAGACGAGGAGCTGGAAGGATTGGGAAATTAATAATGTGCGAAAATTGTTCAAACGGTTGCTAGCATCTGGATCGAAAATTCTGTTTGTGAGCGAAACCACTAGTGAAAAGAACAACTCACTCTCTATTATATCTGCTGATTGGCCGGTGGTATCTGCCGCTGATCCGCTCCAGTGCCTAGTGTCGGAGAGAAAAGGCTCACGGAAGGGAACACAACAGCTATATTCCAACAAAGTGGGAGCGACAGCGTGAGTGCGTGCAAGTGCGAAAAGTACAACGGCCTCAAGCTTTTTATTGGAAGGACACTGTCTGAACTTGGTCCAATGCGGACGCACGCGGTCTGGCTGCATATCGCGGGGGCGTTGTCTAACCTTGATCATCGCTGACTCGCGCTGTCTGGGTTTGATACAAGACTGTGATGCGCTGCATATTGAGGGGGCGTTGTCTGTCTGGTCAACATCTAGCGGAGCTGAGGGTTTCGGTAGATTTCGGGCATTCAGTGGTTGCTTTCAGGAAGCTGACCTTCCTGATACTCTCCTTCATCAAACATCAGCCAATCGCATGGCCGGCGGCTCTTGCTCTATCGGATTCTCGGTCTCCAAACCTTAGATTTAGAACCTCTAAATGCATAAAAAATACGCCGTACGATGCTGGGGGAAATGAACCACCACCCGCTTTGATTGAGGGTGGATTTGGAATCGTGGTCAATACCTGCCTAACCGATTGTCTTCTATCTGGATCGATTCGACTATAGTTTTCATTTTCATAAAAGAGGCTCACAGTGAGTGTTGGTCTGAGCTTCAGACCCGTTGATATCGACTCTTTTAAGGTAAGAACATGACTCAAGGACAATAAGCATGGCTCTAATTAGGAAGGAGTTGTACGAAGCACCTTCGCAGTCTGTCGAATTCTAGAGCAGTGGCACGCATACAAGCACCCTGGGATCTTGCTATTCTTCAGCTTCAAGTGTGTTTTCACTTCTGTCGACGCACACTTCGATCCTAAAGTGCCTATGCGCTAATTAAGCCCGTGGATGGCATGCACTCTGTGCGTTCACATGTTTGTGACTGTGAAGCTATATGTAGAGCTGTCCAAAAGCTCCCATGTGCACAGAAGTTTCGACGAGAATTTCCACTCCATTTCCGTTCGATTTCGTCACTGATGAGATAGTGATGTAGCCCCCCAAAACTGTAATGTTCGCACCTCTGTGAGCGGAAAACTTGTTGACCTCGGACATGTTGATCTTATTTTTGTTGAGAAAAAGATCGTGCAGTGTTACTATATGCACTAGCCTGGTCATCTAGTGACTCGGCATGTACTTTGCATCTGGAAACTTCAAAGCCATGTTGCGCGACGTGTCAACCACGAACGATTCACTAGTTGTTCAAGGAAAGTCGGTTTAGATTATGGAGTGCTTTGTCTCTCTAGGAACCTGCATTGGCTTTTTTGATGTTGTGGCAGTTGAATTCAGCGCACAATTCTCGAAGACTGAAATTGTGTTTGAGATTGGCGCCACTTGTGGCGTCAGAAAGATGGACATTTGTATCAAAATGCAGTGCAGGATATGTACGTCTGCGAGGCTTGGTCGCCGCTGATGGAGGTTCTGGGACGTGCTCATGTCTATATATCAGAACTAACGAATACGAAGCGAGGTAGTCAGTAATCGGTGTTTCATAAAGCGTCAGTTATTTCAATTGACAAATGCATTACTCCCATGAGCCGTCTCTCGAACACAGTCAGGTAACAGTAAATTCAGTTTTGAAAAGCGATCCCCGTTCTTGTCGAAAAACGAGGAAATATGCTCACCTGCGTAGTCCAGGTTCATCTATGCTGTGGCTGTGACCAAACAATAAAAGTGTTTTTTTTAGCTGAAACGACGTAGACCGGTGTTTCATAAAGCGTCAGTTATTTCAATTGACAAATGCATTACTCCCATGAGCCGTCTCTCGAACACAGTCAGGTAACAGTAAATTCAGTTTTGAAAAGCGATCCCCGTTCTTGTCGAAAAACGAGGAAATATGCTCACCTGCGTAGTCCAGGTTCATCTATGCTGTGGCTGTGACCAAACAATAAAAGTGTTTTTTTTAGCTGAAATCGACGTAGACTTGTCCTCTGGATCAGGCAGGACGTTTGGTTGTGTACCCCGAGACTCAAGATAACCCCTATCTGAATTCACATGTTAGTATCGCTCAAAGTCTCTTTGTGACCAACTTTCACGGCCAGAGTGGGAGCAAACCTTGTTCTGGTACACATTTAGTAAAACGGGAACTACTTGATGCCGTTCAGTTGTTGACTTCCCTACAGTCAACGATATACGGATGAAAGGAGCACATTGGTTTCCTAATCAGGTTTGAAAAAGTGGGATACTTTTATTTCGCGGGAGCACGTATATCGTCAATAAAAATTTTAGCGTCTGTATGACGCTGTTTACGTGTTATAAAAAGCTAGCAGATGATCACGGTAATGCGTCGGCACCTATACACTGTGGGTGAATTACCAGTGGCTCCAACTTACCTGTTGCTTGTGGAAAGACAGATGAAGTATATGATTTTATTGGTGTGTGAAATCTCCCAGTACAGCCTGATACTTTTGGAATGCAAGAATAGGCAAGATTCTTCGCTGGACTGTTTACACGTGTGATTTGGCAAATTACCGTTTTTGTTCAAATTAAGTAACGTTACGTAAGTAAGCAAGGTGAGGAAATCACGGTTTAAACACTGATTTCGCTCCATGAAGATACATCCTGCGCAGGACACCTAACATTTGCCGTTGTCTGTCTTTGAGAGAAATATGTCCTAATGAAAGGCTTTGCAATACATTTGTCCAAATCACTCTGCCTGCTTATACGCATTACCAGTGGGTGGAATGAAGCGGATGCGAAGAGCTGACCACATTGTCGGCTGAAGTCAAATGGTCGGGTATTCCAGGGCTATGTGGGCTGCATCAGGTCATGCTGATTTTCTGTGGCATCCCGCATGAATTTTATCAGCATGCCACTTTTTCCAACTTAAATCACTGATGTGTACGACCATGTCTTGTCTCGTGCAGGCGAGTAGGGTTTTAGGCCCACTGGCCAATGACCGTTCAATGGCCCTGACTCAAACGGTGCATCCTTCTGAAGTTCTTGCCATATTTTCGTGGCGCACAGGCTTGCTACAGTATCTATTTAGCTCTACCTACTAGGTTAACATGTCAAATAGTAAGTGCATTATCCAGTTGTGCGAGCCAACTACATCGGTTCTAATATAAATGCACACGAGGCACTGCCGCTCGGTTGTTGAAAATAACTGCACCTGCCACAGTTTCAATCAGCCTGGAGGTTTTTACTCAATTCAGATTTTTGTTTCCAAACCTCTGAATCCTTTTTATTTTGCTTACACCTGGTTGGTTGTCAACAGTAGCCACGGAAACATTCTCCTAATGAGATTATCTCCAACATGTACTATCCATTACTTTTAGCACCATACTAGTCGGTTTATATCATTACCCCAGTAAGAGCCACATCATAGGAAATTAGCCAAGTTTCTCGGATAGTTTAACAGGGCCTTCCCATTTTACACAGTGGAAAGCATATTCTGAATGCAATTGCGAATTGTCAACACATCTTTCCAGCTTCTGGAGTTCTGACAGGAGAAACAACACTCCGGTTCGTAAAATACACTACTTTGCACCCTAATTCAATTTTCACGAGGTACTCAACCGAATGCATGCTCGATCTCGTTATTGACGTCTGTCAGTCAAATTTAGTGCACAAAGGCCACCTCATGGTACGATATTAGAGATTTCGCGGTATAGTTTCTTCTCAAGTGAACCCCTCGTTTGATTGCTGAAACACCGCCAACTCACGGCCGGCTTCGCCCTTCTTAGTGTTGATCGGGTAGGGTGTCCCACGAGTTTCCGTCGAACTCGTGTTCTCCTTGAATCAAAACTGCACGAAACCCGCAAGACGTACTCATTTGCGCGCAATCTGAGTGCAAGCAGAATATAAGTTTGACGGAAATTCGGTGGCTGCACCAACCTGATGAGCTCTAAAAGGAGCGAAGCGAGGGGAGCATCCCATGAAACTCAAAGGGCCTCAGACTCACGAGCTCCAGGCTAGTAGTTTGAAATCTCAGTCATTCGGTCACAAGCAGTTGAGTTTCAGGAGATCTGAACTATTGATGATTCCCAGTAAAGTTGAAACAGCCATACAGTCCTCGGCTTTCCAGCGTAGAGTGGCTTCACTTACAAGACAGAATCTGCATTAAGAAATCTAGCGTGTCCCCACACTGGCAACAGTATGATGGAATCACTTATGGGTCACTATATAGTGACTCCATTTTCACCGCTACAAGACGACCAGAGTTGAGGTCTCCCAACACGCTGGAGGAATCAACATTTTATTGTCAAGACA